TCACTGTTGACAGTCATAACTTCGAAGCTCTTGGTCACAGGTGCTACATTGGACTAAGTAGGCAATTGAAAAGTAAAGTCCTCTCTCAACGAACAAAGTCCAAACTCTACAAATCTCGCTTATCGTTACCGTCCTGCTTTATGAAGCATAAACATGGATGACGGCAAAGTCTGATGAATCGGCGTTAGAGTTAGTTTTCGAGTGATTTATTGTCCTCTATGAGTTGGAAATGGCGAATGCCGTAGCCTAAGGAACTGTGAGCTGTACGAGAGATACGGTGATATTAACATAGTTCAGCGAATCAAGAAACAGCGGCAGGGCTGCCTACGTCATGTGGTCCGGATGGATATGAATACTCCAGCTTAGAAAGCTTCCGATGCAGTACCCGCCGGTGAAATTAGAGTAAGAAGAAGGGAAGACCGCCACTCTCTTGGAAAAACAAGGTGGAGAATGACCTTTCTGTACCACAAGTACAAAAGTAAGGAATGAATGGCGCGCTGTTCTTAACTCGGCTATAAAGAGGAGGGAGGAGTTCATTTCAATTTATTTCTTACACAAGCAACGGGTATTATTAACACGTCATTTAACTGTCATTTATTTAACTACGCATCAGCTTTGCACTGGTTATATACTAGTTCGTTTCGGCGTGTTTAATTCCTACTTCAACAAAACCAAAAACAAAATTAAAATTAAAATAAGTTTTCCTAGCAAAATTTGAGCCTTAAATCTCACGCAGTTGGTCGGTAGCCTTTAACCACTCGGCTATCGTAACGATGAAGTCACGAACGTTGTTTTGCACACTTCAAGAGAGTGTAACTGATGATAGAACTCAGCTGTGACGTGCTAGATATAACAACAACACTCAGTGGTAAACTGTTGCACAAATATTCAACTGGTATGTTTTTATTTCCAGAGACACTAGTATTTAACTAGTATTTTTACATACTAGTCTACCTTTTCCCTGACGGGTTAGTATGGAATAAATTTGTAAGCTCATGTATTGTATATCATAACTTTTACTGTAACGTTATTTATGAAGATTTATACACTCATTATTATATTTTTAATTTTGCTCAGTCTCATTTTGCTTGAAAATTTATTTGTTCAAATTAAATTTGCATTAATTTGTTATACACGTACGTAAGTGTGTACTCGTATAGTAGTATACCTGTTACGGTCAAGCTAACTCAATCCGGCTACGCTCATCTTCATGCTAGATATACGTATATACATAAGCTTGTTGTTGCTTTTATTTCATTGCTGCTTGAGTCTATTTAGCCATTCATTTGTATGCTGTCAGCCATGTGCCGATTTAAAAACTCATAAATTAACTTAATTCCGTGTGGGTTTCATTAATTTTCTTAACCAAATGCAAATAATTAATGCACTCACTAAACTCTATAAGTAATAAAATATGTTTTATATTGCTTTGCGGTTAAAAATAAAATGAAATCATTATTATTTAATGACGTTAAATATTTAAGGTTGGCGTAGGCATCGATTTTGTGATCTTATCCCAATTAATAATAGCGCGCCAGTCTTTTCTTATCTTCGCCGATTGTCGTTCCATTAAATTTAGGAGGTTCCTTACTCCACCTGAGCTTTTGGACGGAGTATAGGCCCTCTTCTCTCTCCGAGGATTTGAGTCTACCATTATTCATAAAAAATTCTGAAAGTTAACTTTTTATTTGCGTTCGCCCGTCGGCAAGGAGTGTGTTTCTGGCATGAAAAGCAGCTCGTTATATAAATCCATCAACCATTTGAAGACGTCCACGGTTCTTCGCAACCAAACCCATTCGCCTTCTAATCCAGTATTCAATTATAATTAATGACTAATGGATTCAATGTGTTCTTATAGAAGGTTGTACCTTTTCTATGCAGGCATGCAATAAATTTGAAAGTCGCACGATAAAGAGTCACCTTGTCCGAATCATAGTTTGCTATCTAGCGGCTCAAAGAGGTACTTCCCAAAACTGTTTGATGTTACTCAGCAACAGTTTGCATATCCGTATAAGTTTTTCGGGGATACCAAACTCAGCCATAGCACCTCCTTTTCATGCGGGGGTCTCGTCCATCTTCATGCTGTTGTCTCGTCCATTTTCTCACGGGTCTTTACCCAGGTTTGGCGCATAGTGAATATTTAGGAAATGATTGATTTGTCAGGTCTGAAGTCTCACTGCTCACATTGAATCAATTCGCTGAAGTTGGGCTTCAATCTCTCACACCACACGCTTGATAGGAACTTATGCATATACGATGTTGGGTAGAATTATCGCTTGATATTTGGCGAAGATTGCGGGGTCCTCTATTTTGTGAATTGGTCAGAGTACACTTAGGGTCGAACATGCTTTTTCTACAACATATTCTGTAAAGAAGCTGACATATTCACTTCACTGTCAGTTCTTTTCTACCATCCTTGATTAGCTCAGCTCAGGTATGCGTGTTCTTCCGCAATTTTGTTAATTTTCATGCAGGCAATTGCCATTTGAACTTCGTCATAGTCGAGGATCCGTTGGTTCGATCCCTACCATAAGAAGTCTGATGAGGAGATGTGGTGATCTCCGAAACAGCTGTCATTTCTACCATTTTTCTTTGTTGTATAACAAGTATTCAATTCATACAAACAACAAGGCCTCGTAGTTTACTTAATAAAAATTTGAATTTTTTCTTCAAATTTTAAAATTTTCAAACAAATGAAATAAAACCGCTGAAAGTTTGCCCTTCGATATATAGATAAAAATAAAATATAGAAAAAATCTTGATAAATCATAAGGAGAAAACCCAGAAATATGTTGAAAATAGGTCAAGGTCTAGGCGTCCAGAGCAGCTATCGTGGCGAGATCTCAGTTTTATCACTAAAAAAAAATTACAAGAATTCCTTAATAAATGCTCCAAAGATAGTCGAAAACAGTTTTCGGTGGATTCCTTGGGTTTCGAAAAGTTCGTAGATATTTCAACAAGACAACGGCGCTAGCCATACCACGGGTTTTGGGCAAGAATGACTATTGTATTATGCTCCTCGTCGGCTCTATAGTCTGCAGCAATCCACAGACTTGGGCCCCATTGGGCATATTTGGAAGCTATTGGCACGATAAATTGATAATGCGACTTCAGCAAGCTAATTAGCATTGGAAGAACCTCTAAGAAAGGTATAGTCTGAAATTTGATTTGATCTGCGCCACGTCGTTTGAGGGTAGTCATAGAAGCATATGCTGGGCCAACAAAATATTAAAATCGTTTTAAACTCTTTCATTTTTAGTTTAATTTAGTCAAAATATGACATAATATGTATTGTATTCAACCTTTTGTCCAGTGTAATTTTATGTTTTTAATACACTTACCGTTATTTACGCAACTTTGTATATTATTCGGATTACATTATTGATTAATTATCTCCTTTAAATAAACTACATTCTTAAGGTTACTCTAAATTTCTCAAATTGAATAAAAACATGAAATTTTATAGGTGTAGTTAAACTTTTGTCTTTGACTGTAGATATATTTATATAGATATTGCTATGGTCATAAACTACATTGATTTGAATTTAAAAAGTGTTCGATGGTGAAAGAAAAATTTATATAAATTTGCATATGACTAATTTTTAAAATATGCACGCATGCCAAACGAGACCACCCAAAGCCATTAAATGTTAAAGTTTATAGTTCCTTGGACGCTTTCAAAAACTGGTTTATTGATTTCGTATTACTATTTTTTTTATGTACTGCTTGAAATACATAATGTATTTCTCAAATTAATTTCAATTCTGATAAACTTCTTGCAATACTTCCATCTTTTTACCTACAAAATGTGAAGCAGGTTAAACAAAATTCCTCTCTCTGAGGTATTAAATTTAGAACATACAGAAGTTGACATAATTATTTTAACCAAACTTGTCTTTGTGAATCAGGGCAAGACGAAAACTCTTCTGTCATCAAACCAACAATCATCGTATAATCGACTGGGCTCCCGCGTCACTATTGACAGTCATAACTTTGAAGTCGTAGGTAATTTCGTTTATTTAGTGACCAGACTTGGTCGCTGGCAGCATGTGGCCACATAACTCGTGGTCCACTCCCGATGGGTCTGAAGGCCTGAGCATGTCTTAAGGTGACTCCAAGCATTGCACTGGCTGGAGTGTGGAACCTTTTATGACACGTGCAGCAGAAACAGTCCGTCGGAACAGGGTTGGTTTCGTCACCAGAAGGATTTGGAGTAACCCAGCTGCAAGGTGTTGCTCCGTTGGCTAACTTAGACTAATGTTACCTGTTGATCTAAACGGGGTTAGGTCGCTGAAAGGGTGACAGCCTTTGGCCGGATAAAATCCGGGTCAACTCCGATGCGTAGAACCGGCTGTCGTGAGAGTTGAAAAAATTTAAAATCTAAGGCTCCTCTTCGCCTCTGCAACTAATTGATAGTACATCTGGCTGCTCCCTGGTACATCGACCTACACATATACCTCCTTCTTGAGTGTTGGCCATCAGACCACTACACCGTAGAAAAGTGTGCGCCCAACCACCGGATCTTAAAACAAAGGCACTACTTTTGGTGACATGTCCCATTATCACCCAATCATATAGGCAGTTTTGTGACCTGCCTTTTTTATTCTTAGACGAATCCCAGTGATACGTTGTACCTGAGAGCATAAGTGAAGAGCCCAAGCCACGTCTATATCATATGCACACCTTTTGTATCCGTTTTTTCTGCATCATCCTTCAAGTTACTAACTTGAGAAAATGCTAAGAGATGAACTAGGAAGGGTAAAAAAGAAAACTAGTTGGATTCTAGTGAAAATTAGTATCGGTCCCTGTAGTCCTAGATTACTTTGCAATGGGTCAGTTCGTGCGATTTTTTGCTGGAAAAATCAGAGCGGACAAGAGCTAGAAAGTTCAAAGAGTCAGTCAAAAGTCATGCCAAACTATTTGTAGGGGTCACATTACAAATTTAAAAGTGTTTGAAAATTGAATCAGGAAACCCGCGAGGTTATGTATTTCAAGTTGCTTTATTAATAATAAGTATATCTAAGTTTGGAAACAAGGAATTTTTTCTATCAAACAAAAAACAAATATCAGTCCATAATCGTCGTAAGCAATTAACCTTCAATTCAGCCCCATTAATGACCATGACCATGACCATGCCCACTTTCGTGACCGCCATGATGATGGAAAGCAACACCATGTTCTTGCTTAATGGAGAAACCACTGGAGTGACCATGACCATGACCATGCCCACTTTCGTGACCGCCATGATGATGGAAAGCAACACCATGTTCTTGCTTAATGGAGAAACCACTGGAGTGACCATGACCATGACCATGTTCATGTCCATGTCCATGTCCATAGTCATGTCCATGACCATGTCCTTCATCATGTCCACCATCGTGGGATTCGACCTCAGCGTGTCCACCGTGATAGCTGGTGTGGCCATGATCAGCAACGTGATGATGTGTGGGTTCACGATGTACAACAGCATGGAAGCCACTGTGCTTATCAGCTGTATAGTGGACAGTTCGCTTATGACCATCCGCATCGAGCAACTCGTAGTGTCCGGATACTTTATGACCATCTCGATGCTCGCTGTGCTCCTTCACATCGCCTGTTTTCTTGTCCTTAACGCCATAGTTGAAGTGGTACTCAGCATGCGAGTCATGACCATCATCATCTCCATGTCCATGTCCATGATGATCATGGTGGTCATGATGATCGTCATGTGAGACCAAATGTACAGAGGCGTGACTGGAAGCGCTGTGATCCTCATGACCGTGGCCATGGTGTCCATATGGCGAGGCGCTAACCACAGCCAGTGCCAGGCAACATGTGAATGCAACGAAAATCTGTAACGAAAATAATTATGGAAATTCGGTAAGTAAATATTGAAAAATAACATACAAATTAGGCTTACCTTAAAGGCCATTATTCCAAGCTAATTTACAAGCTGTGATAGATCAAAGCGAACTGTGCTCAATCCATTTTTCAGCGCAGTTTTTATACCAAATTTGAATGCCAAACATTCTCTTTTGTTTTTCTTTTGCTTCACAGACTTTCCGCATAGTCTCGCTCAAAAATGCACCTCAGACCGCCGGCCATGTAATTATTGGGTAATTGCTAACAAGACCACGCCTACTGGACTACCAGCTGCAAAACTTAGTTGGGCTAATTAGTACGCCTAAAATGTTTCAGTAAAAGTGTTTCGATACAAATTTTCACACTCTGAGTTTAAGCTGACTTTTGGGGAACTACAATACATTATGGATATTTTAATGGCATGACTAGAATGAGTCACGGCAATTCTTGGGAATCTTCCAAGCAATGATACTTAAACGTTGTCAAAATTACTGCAGCCGGATACCAAAAGTATTGTAAATAATTGAAAACAAAAAACTGAGGCCAGCTTAAATAAAACAAAATAAAATAAGACAAACTGAAATAATAAAAAAAAGTAAAAAATAATTTAAAAATTATAAATAATAAAATAATATAAAAAATTTTAGAAAAATAACCCATAGCTAAGTGCAAAATCTGACAACAACAAAAATTAAATAAAATTAAATTAATATATATTTAAGAATAAATTCAAAAAAATAGCATAAAAAAACTAAATTATAAAATAAGAAATAATATGAAATATAATGAAATGCAAAAATTATTATTATTAAATGCAAAACCTAACTCCAACCGAGATAAACAAAGATTTAAAAAATTCAATAAATTAATATAATATAAATTATTATAAATAGATGAATTTAAAAAATTATGTACAGCTAAATAAAATAGTATAAATACAAAAAGTATGAACTAAAATACAACAAGCAAAAAAACTCTTACATAAAATCTTATTATATGCGAAAAGCTTTAAAAAAACAGTATAAATTCATATGAATTAAAAAAAATTAAAACGAAATAAAATAGAAAAAATTTAAATTATAAAAATTAAACAAAAAATAAAATAAAAAAATAATATACAGTTAAATTTATATATAATAGAGAATAAATGGAATAAAAAATTAAATATATCAATATAGATAATTTGTATAGAAAAAAAGTAAACTGATATTAAATAAAATAGTTCTAATAACATACAATGCAATAAATTGAACCAAAATGGAAAAAAAATTGAGCGAAATAAAACGGATTAAAATAGAACAAGACAAATAAATTTGAGTATTAATTTAAATTTTAAATTAAATGAAAGGATATAAACTAACAAACACAAAATAAAATATTGTCATAACTTAAAGCTTAATTAGGAAACTAAAATAAAGTTAAATAAAATTATGTAAAGAAACTAAATAAATTAAAAGAAATAAAATAAAGCGAAATTAACTAAAAAAAAAACGAAAAAAAAAACTAAATAAAAAAGCATGAATAATAAATAATTATAATTATTAAGTAATAAATATAAAATATAAAATATTAAATAATATACAATAAATAAAGAAATAATAAATAAATAAATATATAAAAAATAAATAAAAAATAATGAACAATAAATAATAAATAACAAATAACATATAACAAATAATATATAATAAGTTATTAATAATATATATATGATAATAATAAAAAATTAATAAATAAATAATAAGTATTAAATTTTAACTTATAAAAAATAAATAAACAAACAATAAATAAAAAATAATAAATAATAAATAATGAATAACATATAATAAATAATTAATAATAAATATTAAATAATAAATAAAAAATAATGAATAATGAATAATAGATAACAAATAATAAATAATAAATAATAAATAATAAATAATAAATAATAAATAATAAAAAATAACGAACAATAAATAATAAAAAAAAAATAAATTATATATTTATTATATATAAATAACAGATAATAAATAATAAATAATGAATAATATATAATAAATAATTGATAATAAATATAATAAATAATAAATACTAANCTTTTTCGTTGTCCATCTTCCATGCGTCTTTTCACTAAGCAACTCAGATCAAAATGAAGTTATGTTATGCTTGATTTACAGTTCGGACTGTCACCTTTCCAACGATATATAATAAGTATATATTTCTTTCACGAGCGTCACTCTCAAACGATTCAAACGGCATCCAGCGGAATCGGGCATGAACTTATGCACTCATCCAATATAATAAATAATAAATAAGAATAAGACATATAAAAAGAAAATAAAATGAAAAAATGTAAAATACTATGACAAAACAACAAAAAAAATTTATATATGTAAGTGTGTGTAAAATATTTGTTAGTCTAATTTATAAAATAATAAAAATTATATAGAATAAAATAACATAGCATGGTGAAATAAAATAAAATAAAGTTAATGAAAATATATACATTGAAGTAAGAAAAACCAAAATTAAAATAAGCTACATGAAATAAAATAAAAATAAAGTAACGTAAAATGAAGCTTACAAATTATTGTAAAATAGAAAAAATAATAATATTAAAATAAAACTATAACTAAAATTTAAATTAAAATAAATGGAATGAAGATTAAAATAAAGGAAATAAAACAAAATAGAACAAAATAAAATTAAGTAATATAAATTCAATTTGAATAAAATTATTGTATAGTAAAGAAATTATAGTAAATAAAAGTACACAAACAACAACTTAACATAAAATATTAAATTCCAGAAGAACAACATTTAAGTCGAAAAATAGAAAAAATACTAGAAATTACCAAACTTGTGTGTTTTACAACTGACTGACATTCAAAATTATTGTATTTAATTTGATTTTTTATTTTGTTTTATTCCCTTTTTTTCTTTCGTTATTTAATAATCTCAATTTTACACTTAATTTAATTTTATTTTTTTTTTTCTGCAAAAATTATTTTCATTAAAAAAAACGTTTGCCATGCCGTTGTGGTCATATTTCTCTCTCCACTAAATTAAAGAATATTCTTACACCAAAATTGGTAGAAACAGAAATGTAAGAAAATTTTGTTATAAAAAAAGTGGTTAAAAAATTCATGAAAAATATTTAATAAGTAAAAAGTAATGTAAAAGTTGAAAACTACATATATATATTCCACACCGAAAATGCAAAAACAAATTTTACTAAAAATTCAGACCAGTTCCTGCTCTAGGTCAAATTAAAAATTGTTCTAAACAGATGTAACTTATATATACATACATTTGTATATATATATTTTTATATATTTTTTTCTTTGAGATCTTCATATTTAGACTGTTATAATCTCAAATATGAAACAACCATATACGTAACTATATATAGCCATCTATGTACGCAGTTGTAGTGTTCATTGCTCGTGACCTGCCTTTCTTAGTTGCCTTGTGTACATAGCATAATCTGAGCTGTACAACAGATAAACATGCTCCCTTATTTTTGGTACTCCGTTTCACTTCGATTTCGTGTACAAACAAGTATGTATCAATGTACGTGCATGTACATACCTGCTTATTGCTGCTTTGCAACTTCATTTCACTTTGTGTTTTTGAATTTCATTTAATCTTATATTTTCCTGTAATTCACAGATGCTATTTCGTCATTTCATAAGCATAAATACGAACATACTTAGCGAGAATGATGGAAGTGTGTGTCTTCTGTTTGTGAACATTGGCACATTGAACATTGAATCGCTAGTTAGCAGTTAATTAGCAGATCTGCTCAGTGGCTGACGGTCACACTCTCCAGTCAATATCTCCCACCCAGTAATAATTTGCTGGCGGGCGCGAGGTAACGTCGCTCTTGGTCTTCTGTTGCTGTGACAGCGGGTCACAACGCACAGTCGCTGCGCGGCATGCATTGTACGCTCATTCCATCTCCCGGTTTGTTGTGTACTGCGGTCGAGCCGAGATCGGGCGATGTTCCTCTGCGACGTCATTTCCAAAATTTCTTGGTTAAGTAACTTGTGGTAGCTTAGCTTCGGATTTGTGTAAATTTGCTGTTCAGAACACTTCCAATACCGTGGCATTGCCGAGCAATTTGCCCATCTTTTTTTTGCTGCTGGTGGTGTTGTTTGTGGGTCTCTTTTCAACTTATTTCATAGGGTCACATAAAAGAAGACAGTCATTTTCAATTTCAAGATGACGAAACGTCTAAAAGTAGCCTGGCTTAAACCTCTAAGAGAAGCTTCAGTTAATGCCAACATGCAGCCTAACTTCTGAAAATGCTGATGAGATATTTCCTCGGACTGAGCACTCGAGGCAGAGCAGCGGAAATTATACTGTTCCTAAAAGTGATAATTCAATATTCTCTTCCAGATAAACTACGACAGTGAGGATACGAAAAATACCAAGTCTTACCGCGTGCATGCCAAATCGGAACTCCCAATGTATGCGAAAGTTTTGATGCTCAGTTGGAAAGTAGCTTCCCTGCCTTTCCGAGATCTACCTTCAGCTGAAAGATCTTGCAATCGCGCTATCGGAAGTTTTTGCCCAGTCTGTGTTTAGTTGGTCTAACCTGCATCCGTTCCGAAGCAAGTGAAATGTTGTTGTTTTTTACTTGGTTCGACATTAACAAAACGGTGGTACCTATATTTGACAAGTCATAAGCATTGCAGTTCTCAGCAATTGTGACCTGGTACACATTTGAAATAACTCGACGCTAGAGGCGATGAAAATAAGCATAACTGTGAATGGGCTCAGAGTCGTAATAGGAGATTGGCTATCTTAGTAATCCTCACAGAAGTCACCAACCTTTCGAAACAGTGCGCTCACTTCTTCCTTAGCAGCATCTACCATTGACCTGGCATGAAAGCTGAAGTAGTCTAGAGCCCTGAAACTCCACTGATAGTTATTTATCGACAGAAGCCTCTCACTCCGATCTTTCCGTCATGGTTTGAGTCATCCATAAAGAAGTAATGTGCTCCTTTTCTCCAACGGACTTGCTCTCTTCTGTCCATTTGTGGAGGGATGTATTTTGCTGGAGAAGTAACCACTCGCCACCAGCTTGAAGGCACAGTAACCCAAGCAGTTATTATAAAGTCGATTCGCTTAAGAACAACGGAGTGCAACAATGATCTAGAGTCGTCCAGGGACTTTTGCAAATAACCTACCTAAAAATATTCTCTGGTTTCATAATACACATGACATTCAAAGTCTAGGTTGGAGCCGTTAGGTATGCACAACAGATGGTTTTTATGATACCCTTCCGCTCAGCTGAAGTAACATTTTCTAGCTAGTTCCTCGAAAGCTTCATAAAACCAGATGGATCTATCTATAGTTACATAGTTCCAGTACACCACTCTTACAGGTGGAGACCCAGCAAATTTCTTTTCTTCGGGTTTAAATTATTTTCGAAAAAAGAAAAAGAAAGCTGCCTCTCTTCACCACACTGACGATCTAACTAAGATTCTCGCCATTTGTGGATTCTTTGCCGTTATATTTCTGGTATTTTAGACTACTTCTATTTCGAACTGTTTGTTTCGATTACAACTTTGGCCCATACTAAGCTTTCCCCTCATGGAAAGTTTAATCGAAAGTCGCATGAAGTTCTCTACACCCAGTGCTGCCTTGCACTGTGATAGATCTTTCTGTGAGCTGTGTCCACTTCAGGAGCTACCCTTATAATATAGTCGATATTACCACCTGGCTGAGGATCGCCAAAAGACACCCTTAGAGACAAGTGCTGGTGGTGTGTCACTTCTTTTTTCATGGACCTCGTCCAGGCACTGGCGTATTATACTATTCACTGAAAAGGTTCAAGTAGTTCACACGACGCTTTAATCTTTTCCCCAATAAGCTCCATAAGGCCTCACATGCCTTGTTAAGAAGTCTCAACTCACTATGATTTTCGCAGACTATGGGGTCTTCCTTTTTGTTGAATGGGCAGAGCACACTTACATAGATTCCAGCTGGTGCATCCACTCATTTAGTTCTTTGCCATCGAATCTGAATAGCAAATCTCCAATTGTTATTATTTTCTTCTTTTCCAGGTGGTAATCGCTATTCGAACTTCTTTATGCGCAGGTAATGGAACGTCTAATCTATAGTAATCGATTCGCGAATTGGGTAGGCCGTCTCCTGGTGTTTAATTTTCACTACCACTCAGCTCGCTGGACACACGCATTTTCTCTCTTTTTACTCATTTATTTCGCCCTCTTTTCTCTTCTCTGAATATGCGTTTATCTTCTCTCTTCAACTCTCGGTTTCTGTCTCACTCCGCACAACGATTACAACGTTGCGAAGCAGGCGATCCACTTTATATGAGCTTTCGTGCTGTACGCAAGGTGTTTTTGGCATTTCATCTCACGGTTCCTTCGTACTGTAAAATTGTTTCCAGCAGAGTAGTAAATCGTTTATAAATCCGTTTGGCTATCTGTCCAACCTACCTCGTTTCCTTTACTAAAAATATGTGGATACGTATTTCTGTTAACACAAGAAAGCATTCCGAGTTGATATTGGGTCCTCGGATCGTTCGCACTAATTGGCCACTAAATATATTTCGCTCGTTTATTATAATATGATCGATCTGGTTTCGAATTTTCCGGATCGGTGGTACCTAATTAACCTGATGAATTTGGTTGTGCTGGAATCTATAATATATTGTACTATGGACAACTTAATACATTTCAGTCCTCAGGAAAGTCAAGCAGGCTAAACCCACTTGTGAATGCTTAGCCGTGAGGACTGAATGCTCCATTTTTCAGTATCTACAACGTCCTTCCCGTCCATCCAGACTTGGATTATGTTAAGACTTTCATTCATGGGCATTGTTAGGACTCGGGCATCGAGTTTTTAATGCTCCAGTGAACTTAAAAGTTGGGAGAAAATACTATTCTCGGAATATTTTAGAATTTGTGAATATAAAACTGAACAATATTTGGTTTTCAAATTGCTTTATTTAAACATATTAGGAAAAATTTTACTAATGAGTAATAGGATACATTTGGTTTTATGTGTTGTTTTGTTTTGTTCGTGCAGAAACACTCACTAAATTACTAAATTACACTTAAACGTAAGAGGACTCGTTCATTATACATAATAATTTCCGCCGATGAACACAAACAATATTGCGTCTAAATGCTATAGCCCATCCTGGAGGCGCACTAATGGCCACCAAAATCGTGACCACCATAATGACCACCGAAATCATGGCCACCGAAATCATGACCACCCTCATCGTTTCCACCCTCATGACCCTTCTCCTCGTGATGCACGTGTTTTTCATGATGGAAGGGGATGCCATGTTCCTGTTTGATCGAGAAACCACTGGCATGACCATGACCATGTCCGTGCTCTTCATGGCCATGACCATGTCCGTGCTCTTCATGGCCATGTTCATGCTCTACATGTGCGTAGCCGCCATAGTAGCTGGTATGGCCATGATCCGCAATATGATGGTGTGTGGGTTCACGGTGCACGACGGCGTGGAAACCGCTATGTTTGTCAGCGACATAATGTACAACACGCTTATGACCATCCGCATCAATTAACTCATAATGTCCGGTTACTTTATGACCATCACGTTTTTCGCTGTGCTCCTTGTAATCGCCAGTCTTCTTATCCTTAACGCCGTAGGTGAAATGGTACTCGGCATGCGAATCATGACCGTCACCATGCTCATGACCATGCTCATCGTGATGATCGTCATGTGAGACCAAATGCACCGAGGCGTGACTGGAGCCACCGCTATGTTCCTCATGCTCATGGCCGCCACCGCCGCCGCCGCCGCCACTCTCCTCGTGATGTGTATATGGGGCGGCATTGACGACGACTAACGCAGAGCAGAGTGCGAATGCAGCGATAAACTGTTGGCAGGAGAGATGGAAATAAAAAGCAAGGATATTTCAAAATTCCAAAGGCAACGTAAAACAATAGTAACTTACCTTAAAGGCCATTGTACCGCAGCTTATTTATGAGTTGTTTGCCTGTAGCTTTGCTTAGTTGCTTTCGATCGATGGACCTGATTGAACTGTGCTACTGTCAGTATCGGCTAACGCTTTTATACCACAAAATTAATATCTTTTCACCTAATTCATATTTCATATTTCCCAATTAATTTTTCTGCAACACTTTCCATTGGCCACACATCAATTCAAACACATGTGTGTTTTTGTTGCTTATCAATAGTAATCACATGCAAGCCAACATTGCTGGAGCTGCACTCACCAGTTAGCCACTAACCGGGCGTTACCTCGCGCATTCACTTCTTCATATGTGTATGTGTGCGACTCATTAGCAAATTAAAGCAGGGTTAATTACCAGCAGCGTTGGCCAAGTTATTGTGCAATTTTCCTCATTCATAGAGAATGGCTTTCCAATCGCTTGCTGTGCGATTTGCCCTAAAATGTGCCATCGAAGTCTCTAACAAAGTTCACTGGGTTTCTGTTGCGCTCTACTTTACGCTCACTAACTGCGTATTTACCGTTTTGGACATGGCTAATTTACGCTGCGGCAGACTTGCTCAAACATCAAGCATTCGATAATTTAAATATGCCGCAGCTTGAAGGTAGTCCAAAGCTCGAAATATTTCAATAACTTTCTCTTTCTTAAAATGCATTTTCCAAAAATGCAATCAAATTAGTAGGAAAAAGGCATATTACAGTGCATGAAATTGCTGTGAGTGCCCGTTGGCGTTTGCGTGTTCACATGCACTTTTGCAATTACAACTGAAACCAAAAAGAGCAGCAGACAGAAGGGAATAGCTGCCGGTTTGGTAAAAGAAGCTTTGCTCGTAAATGAGTCATGGGAAGTTTAAAGTATTTTTTGTTTGGAAAACATAAATAACCAAGACGTTGAGAGCACTAAAATTACTTAAACAGTTTAGAAAAACAGTCTCAGGAGCTGATGTTCTTTTAAGACTAAAAGCTGATGTCCTTTTTGCGACAAACAGATGATGTTATCCTTGTGAGAGAACTATAATGGAAGTGATATTAATTACAAATACTACAGCGGTCATATAAAGCAGCCCAAATTAGATGTTCAAATCGTGGTCGCGGAGAGACTCAGTCGCCAAATCTAATCATTCACCCAACGGTCTTGCTACAATACGGATAAAAGCGAAGCGTTTCAGCTTAGCGCTGATTTGCGACTACGACCTCATGAAAGGGAAGAACATAGTGGACAAAGAAACGATTTATGAATACCTGGAACGTACTTATGAGTGCTACTACCAGCACCAGGTCTTGAGCAGAACAGTCTGAAAATTCAATCAATATAATATCCAACTTAGCGGCCATTGATCGACTTGGTCCTAGCCCGAAATATGGTCATCTTTAGTGGTACATTTCAGCACAATAAGTCACAACAAGCTGATCGACTGTCTTCAGATCGTAATACTCGCAACTGAATTGATCCGTTCTGATGGACGAAAGACACGTATTCAGTATTCGAGGTGTGTGTAAATTCCGTGGACTTAACAACGGCTCGGATCACTATTTCATACCACCAAAAAACGATCGTCAACAAATATGAATAAGTATGACAACGAGAAGCTGTAATTCCAACAGTTAGCCAGCCATAAAAATATACAGGCTGAAAAAATGTGAATAGAAAGAGCTTGATTAAAAGTTGGTCGACAGAGATACTGCTAAAAGTTTCAGATTAGGAAACTCAACACCCAGTAGTAGGTTTAAAGACGAGAAGGAGTATGCTGTGATCATGGAGGCAAGACTTTTCTAGCTTGCTGGTTACCAGTGATTTTGAAATAGTCGACTATGATGAAGTTCGAATAGCGATTGTTCGCTTAAAGAATAACAAAGCGGTTGAAGACGATGGCTTACCGGCTAAACTACGATGGTGATAAGGTACATGCAACAGCTGCTTTGCAATATATGTAGGGTTGAGAGGAAGCTTGTCGATTAAAGCTAAAATATGCTCTGTCCAATCCACAAAAAGAGCGATCCCACAGTTTGCACCAATTACCGTGGGACAAGCCTTCTTAACATCGCATACAAGGTTCTGTCAAGCGTATTGTGTGAAAAACTAGAGCCCATCGTCAACAAACTGATTCGACCGTATCAGTGTGGCTTTAGGCCCGATGGAAAAATCATTGATCATATATTTACCATGCGCCAGCTCTTGGAAAATACCCGTGAAAAGAAAATCGACACACAACACACATCTTTGTTGATTTTAAAGCAGCCTTCGGAAGTACGAAAAGAAATGCATCTACGCCGATAAGTCTGAATTTAGCATCCCCGCAAAGCTTATACGGCTGTGTAAACTGACGTTAAGCAACACGTAAAGTTCTGTCAGGATCGGTAAGGACCTCACCGAGTGGTTCGAGAACAAACGAGGTTTCCGACAGAGTAATACGCACTGCAGAGCTGAATAGAGGAAGTACAATCTACGCCGATCATATTGAAAAAGCGTGCATTTTTTCAATATAAGAACCAGAACGTTCATGAAGAATTTGGAGAGAAGTTCACTCAACGGATTAGGCGATTATAAGCCAAATGTAATAAGATAGTGATCAGAGCTAATATTTGCTGACTCATGAAATGTTACCATTCTAACACTTTGTAGACAGATGTCATTGCTAAAAAAATATACGTGTTTTAGCCATTTAGGAATCAGTTAATTTAAAGACTCTTTATTTGCTCAGTTTAATGAGGATTGCTTTCGCGAGGCCCATTCAATAACCACCAATACATAATTAAAAACTCTCGGATGGAGATATTTTCAAAGCGCTTTATGTTAAAAGACCATTGCAACGGTCGCAATAGCCGACTGGTTAGCATTGCGCACTGCTATTCTGAAAGCCAAGGTTCGAGTCCTGGTTCAACCAAGATCCAAAATTACACAAAATCTATTTTTCTAATTGCGGTCGTCTCTTAGCAGTGAATGAAGGCTCCTCATAAGAAAAACATCAGTCATTCAGAGGCGGCTTAGAATAAACTGTAGGTCATTCCTTTTGATGGGAAAACGCATACTACATATTGGAGAAGAAGCTCGGCCGGAAATCGTTTTAATGGTTACAAAGCGCCAAAAATGTTATTTTGACCGTAGTCTTCAACATTTTTACCTTTAAATTGAAATCTATTAAGCTTTTAGTGCATAATCTGAAAGCTTTCTTTTATTTTTTTTTCTTCTTTAAAATTTTACTGGTAATAGTTGTCAATACCTTTCAATCTGCAGCTGAAATACATACAAATCTACTCAACATAACATACAACGAATTTTTCTGTCTAAAAAAAATCGGAAGAAGAGTCATGAAGTTGTTGATTAGAGTTGGCCACTGTAATTTTTCCATGTATTGTTTGTTGCCACCTTGATATGGCAACAAGTTCCAACTAAAATTAAAACGTGACATTGTCACGCGTTCGCAAACAGGCATTAATACGACATGCAGTAAGCTCCAAGCAACAACAACTTACTAAAGAGTTCAAAGAATAAACGAAGTCGACGTTAAAGTCATGTTGCATGTTTAATTGTTGACTGAATTCATGGTTGCTTGTGACCGTTGGTAGGCAAATCGTTTCCACGAAAGTGTAAGGCGCATTCTGTCAGCACTTTTTTGTCCAAAGACACGTTGTTGGTGTTCCCATTATCTGATGCTATTTGAGAAAGCACACACAATGGCTGATAATCTTGGTATGTGGCACGTATGTCTCGGCATATACCAAACTAGTCTCTACTCATATAAATGACCAGTGCGCCAGTGTCACAAGCGCATGACAATGATTTCATTTAACTTGGGCGTACATTCAGCTGACATTTATTTCCTTCGTATGTGTTGAAAGTGATGGCTTCTTGCTGATCTATTATTTATTATCGCAGTATTTGTTGGAGCGTCTAAGGTACTTTCCCAAACATACGAAGGCTTTAGTCTAATCTTCGAACATATATGTTTTAGGCAAAGAGAAATCAATACCTTCACGGGAAAACTTGCGGTCACCAAGCCAGTGGATGAAAGTAGCATTTAACTTCTTCACGGGTTGGTCGAAGCTTGTTGGAAAGGTTGACGTAGAAGACTTAAAACAGTTTTTCACCGGTGAGATGTTCAGGTTTCCAGATATTTGTAGTTTTTCAGAGTTTGTTGCCATTTTGAGAGTGGAAAAAGCACTTTTTCGGAAAGTCGTTTCAATGATACAGACTAACTGAGACTGTAAATCGGTTATTACGATCTTGGTCACATTCACTCACTCGGACTCCAAAGAAATAATGATTAGCTTGCTCGTATGGATAACACCTTTTCATTAATGTGGGAGGCTATGAGGGAGAGTATTTTTTGGGAACAGTGAAGAATGATGTTAATAATTGACACCCTTGACTTTATTTATCGAGCCGTCTGACTATTAAGCCAGTTCGGGGGTGAGCTCAGTAGGAAAAATTAGAGTCCTTTACCTTTTCAATGTCAAAGGTGGAGCTCGGAGATTAGTATCGGCTGAGAAATTCGAGCTGGTGCGGGATGATCTTTGCTCTTGCAATGGAGATGGTGAGGAAACTTATTGAGCTCTTCATATTTGCTGGAGCGAGAGGGGGCTCCAAGCGATTTAGGTAAGTCAAGCTTATATATATATAATTGTCACTTTTTAGCTGCTGAAGCGGTTTTCCGCCGAACTCACCCGCCAATTTGTGGCTCTGCGTTTTGATGTGCTTTTCAACAAATGGACGGACCTACAATTTATACAAAGCCGCCTTCGAACGGCTGTTGGGTTTTTTATGAGGAGCCTTTATTTCATACCATAAATACACTCGGAGGGGTTGACACTCCCTTACCTCATTTTTTTTTTTGTCAAGCTTACACCACATCATTTAGGCTGTTGTCGATACTGTTAAGCGTTTAGGCAAGCAAACATGCAAGCTCTCGAGTGTCTAGGAATATTAATACGTTTGCGAGTTCCATGTGACCCAAGTTTGAAGCTTCTTTCCATCCATAAATGAAAAATCTCACAGACAGTAGGCACCCTGATTGGGCATTGTTCGATGGGAGTTCACGGGGTGAGGTTTTGGCTTTTCTGGCA